TGTGTATATATGTACCCACATTCTGACAACCTATCCAACACTTTTTTTTTGTGGCATTCCTATTAATAGTTGCAATCTTTACTGGTGTTAAGTTTCATTTCCAAACCAATTTATAATAATTTTCTTTAACATGTTTTGATAAATTCTTTAAATATCCTTGATCCCATAATTGTACCTAATCCACTTTCTTTATTCTAATCCCTAGATCTCCTCTCTTCCTCTCTCTCTTCTGACAAAACTTTACCAAAAATTGGTAGATGTATGAATATGTCTGAAAGTTGGGGAAAACGATCCCCTGTTACCTTATGTTGTTCCCTAAAAAATTCAAAGAAGTAGCTCTTTTATTTTTAAAAAATATGTTTCCTAAATCCTTTTTAAAAAATCCTAAAAATCAGTGTGTCATCCAAACATTCTGAAATGTGATATGCTAACAGTGGAGTGCATTGCAGTAATTTATTTGGGATGAAACAAGTGCATGAACTACTGGCAAAGTATACTTTGCCTGGAAACTGTGGTCAAGTCATACTTCTCAAGGTATGGGCACAACTGATGCACAAGTTTTAATTGTGCAAAAGCTCCCCTGGCCACTGCCAAGACCTGGGGTTTCCGCCTCAGTGATGAATCTAGGATGTCTCCCAAGCCGCAAAGCTGAGTGCAACCCCATCCAGCACAAGCTGTAACCCTATGTATGCCCTGTTCGGCCTTACGGTTGACCAGGAGGACTTCTGTTTTGTATGGATCCAGTCTCAGTTTGTTCGCTCTCATCCAGTCCGGCACAGCTGCCAAGCACTGGTTCAGGACCTGAACAGCCTCCTCAGCAGTAGGTGGAAAGGAGAGTAGAGTTGAACATCATCTGTAGGGCTCTGAAGGTTAATACCAGCACCTTATAGGAGCCGCAATGGAGTAGTGGACGAAACCGCTAAGCTGCAGAACTTGCTGACCGGAAGGTTGGTGGTTCGAATCTGTGCGATGGGGTGAGCTCTGGTTGTTAGTCCCAGCTTCTGCCAACTTAGCAGTTCAAAAACATGTTGATGTGAGTTGGTCAATAGGTACTGCTTTGGTGGGAAGAGAACGGCACTCCGTGCAGTCCTGTCAGTGGCCACATGACCTAGGAGCCGTCTATGGCTTTTAAGGTTGATAATAATAATAATAATAATAATAATAATAATAATAATCTTAAATTGTACCCCGCTACTATCTCCCCAAGGGACTCGGTGCGGCTTACATGAGGCCAAGCCCTAAGTACTTCAGACAATAACACAACATTAATAAACAATCAATAAAATACAAATTATATAAATCACATAACAAAAACAACAATCAATAATGACATATTAAAAATGGCTGGGCCAAATGTAATAAGTAAAATTGAAAATATGCTGATGTGAACAGGTAAAATGTAACTGGGATAGGATTTTTTAGAGAGGGAACGTAACACCTTATACTTTGCCTGGAAACTAATTGGCAGCCTGCCATTCAAAGTGAGCTGAACCCCTGTTCCTTTCCACACACACATATATTGAGGATGCCATGAGGAAGAGGGGCTTTGCCTTCAGGCTCTGGGAGACTCCTTCTCTGGGACTCCCAACTCCCAACATCCCCAACCCTGGTGGCAGGCCTTCTGCAGGGACGGTGGGAGTTGTAGTCCAAGGGGGGCATTCCCTCCACTCTCTGCAGTGGGGATTCCCAGGCCTCCCCCTTGCTCACCTCAACCCCCAGAAGCCTCAGCTTCCTTGAGCCAAGGTCGGGGATTCTGGGTGATGGAGTCCCAGGAGGGGGGAAGAAGGAAGGAAAGGAAGAGGGGGAAGGAAGGAAGGAAAAGAGGGAAGGAAGGAAAGCAAGGGAAGGAAGGAAGAAAGGAAGAAAAAAAGGAAAGAGGGAGGGAAGGAAGGAAAGAGAGAAGGAAAAAAAAGGAAAGAGCGAGGGAAGGAAGGAAGAGAAAGAGGGAAGGAAGGAAGAGAAAGAGGGAAGGAAGGATAAAAGGAAAGAGTAAGGGAAGGAAGGAAAGAGGGAAGGAAGGAAGGAAAAAAGGGAAGGGAAGGAAGGGGAAGGCTCTGAGTAGAGATGAGGAGGGAGGGGAGGGAGGAAGGAAGGAAAGCCAATTCAATCAGCCTCTTTGCTGGCTGGCTGGCTGGCTCTCCCTTTGCAGCCACAGTCCTCCTGTTTTGACGCTCAGCCTTGCCTTCCTTGGGGCGCCTGCCCTGCGGCCGCCATCTTTAGCCCACTTTGAAGCCAGTCAGAAGTAGAGCGAGAGGGAGAGGCAGGAGGAAGTCCTCAGGAGGGGAGGAGACAGTGATGCACTTCCCTCTGAGATCACCAACCTCTCATGCCGCGGCCTAGCTTTGACCCTCTCTCTCTTTGGTGGATCCCGCGAGGAGGCTTCTTCTTCCCTGGCGAGGCCTCCCTCTGCTCTCGAGGAAGAGCCTTCTTTGTTCCCCAGCCAGGCCGTGGAGTCCCCTCCTGGTTCCCTTCCTTCTCTCGGGAGGGATCCCTGGGCCCGGTTCCCAGGCCAGCCTCGCCCCTGAGTTTGGAACTCGCCCCTGGTGTTTGGCCTTTGCTTTTGTGTGTTTTAATACGCATTTTGTAGAAATATGTTTTAAGAGGTGCGTTTCCCAGAATGTTTTTGAATTAGTTATTTATTTATCGTGTCAGGGGCGAACCAAAACAGTTGTATTGCATTAAAAAACAAACAAACAAACAAAACATAAACTTTGCAGGGTTGGTATTCGATTAAATGTCCTTTGACTAGTATCTGGCCCCTTGGAGTGCCTCTGGTGTGGCTGCAAGGAGGTCCTCCATTGTGCATGTGGCAGGGCTCAGGGTGCATTGCAGCAGGTGGTCAGTGGTTTGCTCTTCTCCACACTCGCATGTCGTGGACTCCACTTTGTGGCCCCATTTCTGAAGGTTGGCTCTGCATCTCGTGGTGCCAGAGCGCAGTCTGTTCAGCACCTTCCAAGTCGCCCAGTCTTCTGTGTGCCCAGGGGGGAGTCTCTCATTTGGTATCAGCCATTGGTTGAGATGCTGGGTTTGAGCCTGCCACTTTTGGACTCTTGCTTGCTGAGGTGTTCCAGGAAGTGTCTCTGTAGATCTTAGAAAACTATTTCTGGATTTAAGTCGTTGACGTGCTGACTGATACCCAAACAGGGGTGAGCTGGAGATGTCTCTGCCTTGGTCCTTTCACTATTGGCTGCTACTTCCCGGCGGATGTCAGGTGGTGCAATACCGGCTAAGCAGTGTAATTTCTCCAGTGGTGTGGGCGCAGACACCCCGTGATAATCCGGCATGTCTCATTAAGAGCCACATCCACTGTTTTAGTGTGGTGAGATGTGTTCCACACTGGGCATGCATACTCAGCAGCAGAGTAGCACAGCGCAAGGGCAGATGTCTTCACTGTGTCTGGTTGTGATCCCCAGGTTGTGCCAGTCAGCTTTCGTATGATATTGTTTCTAGCACCCACTTTTTGCTTGATATTCAGGCAGTGCTTCTTGTAGGTCAGAGCACGGTCCAGAGTGACTCCCAGGTATTTGGGTGCGCTCAAGGGCCAGATTTTTGTCTTCATGGCCCACTGGTGGTCTGCAGCCTGCAGGTTAAGAACCACTGCATCTCCCCATGATGTGCTGCCCTCCTCTTCAAGTTTATTTCATTTATTTTGCGCATTTCTACCCCGCCCTTCTCAACCCCCGAGGGGGGACTCAGGGCGGCTTACAAAAGGCACAATTCGATGCCAACATAAACATAACAATGGATAAAACATGTTAACAGCAATTATAACAATTAAGACAGACAGACTGCCCACCTGGTGCAGAGGTTGATGTAATTCCAGTCTCCAACTCTGCATTCCCATGCCTTTCCTTTCAAATAAATTACAACTAATGGATCATTAATAAGAAAAGCTTAAAATAGTAAAACCTAAACAATTGTGTTTCGGGAACACAAGCTAATTCTTTAACACATTTTTCAATACGCACACTACACTGCGGAGCTGGAGGTAATCCGTGAAGCTTGGGGTGGCTGCAACACATCCACCGCTCCCCATTCATGAGCAAAGGAAGGGCGGGAAGGATGTCAATGCCTTCGGGAGGCAGGAAGAGGAGGGCAGGGGGGCCTGCAAAGACAGGAGGGGAGGGTGGACTCAAAAGGAGAAGGCCCAAAAAACCAGGCGGAGGAAGAATCCCTGCAGCCTCAGAAAAGTTATGAGTCTGGCCTTCCAAGGAGGAGAAGAGCGTGCTTCCCCTTTGAAGTCCTGTGTCTGTTTCCTGCAGGACTCTAGAGTTTGTAGTTGAGAGAGGCCCAGGACCCCCCTGGCTGAGGATGATAAAGGCCCCTCCCTGAACACCTGGCAGTGTAAGAAATCGCACACAGACAATCTTTGGGCACCGTCCCCTTTGTACCTGAGGAGGGATTGTTCGTTGTTGGGCAAGTTTCAAAGTATTAGTCACCTGGCAATGGGCGCCTTCCCTCTTCCCTGGGCTTGCTACAGCACTAGACTTCTCTTTATGTTCCATGAGATATTTCCCTGTTCAACTCCTGAAAAGAATTTCCTCTCATTTGTCTGGCAGGTAACTTCTGAACAAGTTCTGTGAAGAACACTTTGTGAGAGCTTTGCCCGAGGAGTGCTAAAGTCTAAAGGGGGGATAAGATTGTGCTGAGAGGCTTGGGAAAACAAGCAGAAGACTGCAGCAATACAAACTCTGTGCTGTTCACGAGGTTATATCAGTGAACCGTTGGCATAATACTTGAATTCTAAATGAGAGGGGGGGGGGGGGGGGGGGGGGGGGGGAGGGAGGGGGGGGGGGGGGGGGGGGGGGGGGAGAAAGGAAGGAGGGGGGGGGAGAGGGGGGGGGGTGGGGGGGGGGGGGGGGGAGGGGGGAGGAGGTGGGGGGGGGGGGGAGGGGGGGGGAAGGGGGGGGGAGAGAGGGCATAATATTTGAATTATAAATGTAAAAGAATGGCAAGCCCTCTACCTCCCTATCCTAGATCGGACACAAGGGAGAAGTTACATCAGTGTATGGAGTGTGGAAAACAATTTGATTGGAAAAGTCATCTTACTATACATGAACGGACCCACACAGGGGAGAAGCCATATCAGTGCATGGAATGTGGAGAAAGCTTCAGTCAGAGTGGCACTCTACATTCCCATCTAAGGACCCACACAGGGGAGAAGCCATATAAATGTAGGGAATGTGGAAAGAGCTTCAGTCGTAGTAACAGGCTGTATTCCCATGTAAGGGCCCACACGGGGGAGAAGCCATATACATGCATGGAATGTGGAAAGAGCTTCAGTCGCAGTGACAAACTACATTCCCATCAAAGGACCCACACAGGGGAGAAGCCATATCAATGCATGCAATGTGGAGGAAGCTTCAGTCAGAGTGGCACTCTACGTTCCCATCAAAGGATCCACACAGGGGAGAAGCCACATAACTGCATGGAATGTGGAAAGAGCTTCAGTCGGAGTGGCAGTCAACGTACCCATCAAAGGAAGCACACAGGGGAGAAGCCATATAAATGCATGGACTGTGGAGAAAGCTTCAGTTGGAGTGGCAGTCTACGTAACCATCAAAGGAAGCACACAGGGGAGAAACCATATAAATGCAAGGAATGTGGAAAGAGCTTCATTCACAGTGACAATCTACATTCCCATCAAAGGATCCACACAGGGGAGAAGCCACATAACTGCATAGAATGTGGAAAGAGCTTCAGTTACAGTTCAGGTCTGCGTTCCCATCAAATGACCCACACAGGGGAGAAGCCATATACATGCATGGAATGTGGAGAAAGCTTCAGTCGGAGTAGCAGTTTACGTTGCCATGTAAGGACCCACACAGGGGAGAAGCCTTATAAATGCATGGAGTGTGGAAAGAGTTTCAGTAGAAATAGCAGTTTACATTCCCATGTAAGGACCCACACAGGTGTGAAGCCATATAAATGCATGAAATGTGGAGAAACCTTTAGTCGCAGTGGGACTCTTCATACCCATCAAAGGACCCACACAGGGGAGAAGCCACATAAATGCATGGAATGTGGAAAGAGTTTCAGTCACATTGGGACTCTTCATACCCATCAAAGGGCCCACACAGGGGAGAAGCCATATAAATGTATGGAATGTGGAGAAAGCTTCGGTCAGAGTTGGACTCTTCGTGCCCATCAAAGTACCCACACAGGGGAGAAGCCATATAAATGCATGGAATGTGGAGAAAGCTTTAGTCGCGGTAACATTCTACGTTCCCATCAAAGGACCCACACAGGAGAGAAGCCATATAAATGCATGTACTGTGGTAGGAGCTTCAGGCACCGTGGGACTCTTCATACCCATCAAAGGACCCACACAGGGGAGAAGCCATATAAATGCATGGAATGTGGTAAGAGCTTCCGTGAGAATGGAGCGTTGCGTCAGCATCAAAGGAACCACACAGGAGAGAAGCCATATAAGTGCATGGAATGTGGAAAAAGCTTCAGTCGGAGTGGAGAGCTGCGCATTCATCAAAGGATCCACACAGGGGAGAAGCCATATAAATGCAAGGAATGTGGAGAAAGCTTCACTCATAGTCGCAATCTACATTCCCATCAAAGCACCCACACAGGGGAAAAACCATATAAATGCATAGAATGTGGAAAAAGCTTCAGTCGCAGTGACACTCTGCATACCCATCAAAGGACCCACACAGGTGAGAAGCCACATAAATGCATAGAATGTGGAAAAAGCTTCAGTCGCAGTGAACATCTACGTTCCCATCATAGGACCCACACAGGGGAGAAGCCGTATAAATGCATGGAATGTGGAAAAAGCTTCTGTCAGAGTGGCAGTCTACATTCCCATCAAAGGACCCACACAGAGGAGAAGTCATAGAAATAAAGAGCTTCAGTTTGTGAGGCCTTTGTCAACGGCTACTGGGAGCAAGAATCACTCAGAGGGGCAGTCTTCTCAGTATTGCAGCAAGCTCCGAAGGGGTTCACCTAACCTCTTTCACAAGGAAACCCATCACAGGCTTCTAGGATAATCTGTGAAGGTTTGCTGAAATGAGCAGCAGCTGAGATCTGAGGCTAAAGGGTTCTGAAAAAGAATAGCCCTTTGGTTGCAGATACCATCATATCTTCATACTTTTGACTCATGTCTTGGCTCTTCTGACCCTCAGTTAGAAATTTGGGCTCCAGCCATGTACCTGTCACCCTTTTCTGGACTTTGTTGTATCCTGAACCATTGACTGTAAATTCTGGACTGACTGCCTGGTTTCATTTGCATCCCTGGACTTGGTTTGTATCCCTGACTTTCTGGCTTGTCTTTGGGACTCTGAATTCGGTTTATACTGTTGATTTCCTGCTTTTTATTTTATCAACTCTGTTAAATGAACTCCTGGAATGTGACTACTGGGCTGTAACCTTGGCTTTTGTTTCTTCTTCCTCCTGATTTGGATCTGCAGTACTCGCATTGTCTGCATTAATTGGACTCTTGATCTTGACTTGTGTTCATTGTTACTCCAACTGTGTTGATGCAATTGCATTATTTTAGCCTGACTGGCGCAATGGGTTAAACCCTTGTGCTTGGCTGAACTGCAGATCTGAAGGTTGGCCATTCGAATCCACTAGACGGAGTGAGCTCCTGTCTGCCAGCCGTAGCTTCCCATTCGGAGACATGAGAGAAGCCTCCCAGCAGGATGGTAACACATCCAGACGTTCCCTGGGCGACATCTTTGTAGACGTCTGCTTCTCTCACACCAGAAGTGACTTGCAGTATGTTTTCTATTCACTCCTGACACTGTAAACAAGCCAGACTCAAGACTTTAGTTTTTTTAAAAGCAAATATTGTTTGGCTTATCTTTGTGTTTGTTTAATAAACCTGAGGCTGTATACCGGGAGAGCGTTTGAACCCGAGATCATCAGCCTTGCATTGTGTTTACTTACCCCTGCTTAGAACTCCTTTCCGTATTTGAGACTGTTTAATCCCTACCGTTGGCAAAGGGTCCATTCGGATACACAGCACATCTCCCTAACTGCAGAGAACGGAAGACAAAGAATGATGAAGATTCACGTCCGTCAGTTGAGATGGACAAATTGACTAAATTGATAAAGTATAGAACAGCATTTAAAGGAAATAGAGATAAAAATAATAATTTGTGTAAAAAAAAATAAATACCAAAATTGTCATTTGTATAAATATGCTTTCTTTAGTTTTTGGTCTTTGAATAAAAAAATGTTTTTTTTTTACAAAGTGTGATACATCAGCTTTAAAAAGCCAGTGTGATTCTAGGCTGTCCCAATGGGAGGGTGAGGTCTAGATCCAGGTAAGTTTGAGCCCACTCTCTTCTAGACTTGGATCAGACCTGCCCTGGAATGACCCTGCATCCAGTTCTGGGCAGCACAATTCAAGCAAGATGTTGAGATGCTGGAATGTCTCCAGAGATGGGCTGTAGAGAATGGCTGAGGGAGCCGGGTATGTTTAGTTTGGAGGAAAGGAAGAGGCTGAGCAGACAGGAGAGCCAATATTCGGAAGGATGTCCCATGGAGGAGAAAAGGGCCAGTTTTTCCTGCTGCTTTGGAGACTAAGATATAAAGCAGTGGATTCAAATTGCAGGAAAGAAGCTTCCACCTAAACATGAGGAAGCATTTCCTGATGGGAGAGCTGATCAGCCATGGAAGCATTATCCCGTCTCAGGATCCCCCCCCCCCTTTCTCAAACCCTGGTGCGAAGTCTCGGTCTAGTTTTTACTCCTCTGTTTGCTCCCTGGAGGTGGACTGTTCCATTCTGCTATGTTTTAGAGTAGGAGCTTAGGATTCCCCTAGTGGCCGAGCTCTGTTGGTTCAGCCCATTCTGGCTCAGAGCTTGGTGGAAGGGCTTTCCCCCGGCATTCTGCTTGGACATAGCTTTTAGTAGTTAGCCAGAAAGTGTCTGGTCTGGCTTAGAGGTCTAGAATAGGCAATCCTTAGCACATCTTTGCCTCATAGATTAGAATGTATTTGCCTTAGAGTCTATAGATTATAGTATATGTTATAAAGAATTCATCTGTATTTGCCATATAGATTAGATAGTACATGCCCCAGAGTTTATAGAGTGCTTACCTCATAGAAAATATAGTTGTTGTTACCTCAAAGCACATACCACCATTATACCTCATAGCCTCCTGTTATCTATATTTACCTCAGTTATACCTTATACCTGTTCCTTACTATTCTAATTCTATACCATCAAAATTCAAACTGCACCTTTGTATACCTTGTTTTGATTCACCTTGATTGTTCAGTAAACTTCATTGGTTAATTTTAGTCTCGTCTCTAGAGTTTTATTTTGGAGGTATTAAAGTATTTTTAGGGCATACCGATGGTCACTGGGAAAATAGCCGGGCACATATAATTTTCTCTTCATCTTCCCGGTGTGCCATCACCTGGCCTTCCACCTCCTGGGGACTCCATGTCCCAGAATCCCTGATCTTGGGCCAAGATAGTTGAGGCTTCTGGGTGTTAAAGTCCAAGAAATCCTGAAGGAATACAGGTTGGGAATCCCTGCTCCAGAGAGTGGAGGGAATGCGTCTTTTGGACTACAACTCCCATCATCCCAGCAGAAAGGCCTGCCAGAAGGGTTGGAGGACCTTGGGAGTTGTAGTCCGAAATGAATAGGTCTCCTAAGATCATATATATGATCACACACACACACACACACACACATATATAATCTTTATTATGCAGATTTTCTAAAATTATGACATACAATACAAAGGGAGGGATAAAGGGAAGTACAAGGGAAGGGAAGTTTTAAGCAGAGGCTGGATGGCCATCTGTCAGGGGTGATTTGAATGCAATATTCCTGCTTCTTGGCAGAATGGGGTTGGACTGGATGGCCTATGAGGTCTCTTCCAACTCTTTGATTCTATGATTCTATGAAGTAAAATTGGGAGAATAGGGGGTGGGGGGATGGAAGGTAAGGGAGGGGAGTGAGGTGGGATGACATGTTAAACATATGGTTGACTTCCAGTAGAGTCCACAGGGTTAAACAAAATAATACTTGCTTTCTAGTTTCTTCGTAACACATTTTTTATAACACCTTCACTGTTATTATATCTGGATGTTTTTCCTTTCCTCTAAATATTTCTTCAGTGGTTGCCAGTCAATCCACCTCTTATTACTTTTTTCATAAACCATATTCGCCAAGTCGTCCATATCCATATATTCCCTAATTTTGAGAATCCAAGATTCGAGTGCAGGGAGTTCTTTAGATTTCCATTTTCTAGCTAGAACATTTCTTGCCGCGGCTGACAAGTAATACAGTAACTTATCATTATTTAGCCCTGGATCAAAATCTAATAGATGTAGAAAGTAATACTCCGGTTTCAACTCGAATTTAGTCTGCAGAATTCTTTGTGTATGTGAATGTATCTCTTTCCAAAAGCTTTTTCCTTTTTTGCATTGCCACCATACGTGGTAATAGGTGCCTAATTGGTCTCCGCATTTGCAGCAGCCTTTATAAAATTTGGCCAATATTTGGGGGGTAAGATACCAACAATAGAACATTTTTTGTTCTCCTAAGATCTTGAAAGTAAAAGCTTTCTTCCTCATGGGATCGCTTGTGTTTGTGTTTGTCCATGTAGATATGGATTGAGAAAGAAACAAGGGAAATGTGCCTGGATTATCTGCCACCACTTTAATGTTTACTTGTCATTTCTGATGGCAGCGCTGAATCTTGTATATACATTACTTACTTACTTAGGCAGTGTTTCTTATCCCAAGGATGATGTTCCTCCAAGTCTGGTGTCTTACAAGTTCCATGTTCCAAAGTTCATTTTTCTGTTTTGGCCCCAGGGTGGTGACCCCACTGGACGCGGCAGTCCATTCAGGGATCAGAGAGGCCGACTCTGCTTAGGGCACCTTTTCTAGCCCCTTCCTTCCCCATGTGGGGTGAGCAGAGTGGGTCCTCAAAAGGGCTGCTCAGTCGCGGATACAGCTGCCAAACTACTCAACTCCTCGGACGTGACTAGGGGCTTCCAGATATCACGTCCTGCCCCTGTCGCCACACACTAATCCCCGTGGGATTTTTGTTGGTGGTTTGTTTTTATTTTCTTGGAAGACATGCCTGTGTGAGAGTTTTTTTAATGTGTGGAGGTCGGTGCAACTGATCAACACACTGTCTTCACAGAGTGAGGTCCCAACTAGTTGGCAGAGTTAACACGACAACGGGCTTCTCAATCTGTTGCACGTCTTCTTCCGCCTTCACAGCTGTTGTAACATGCACCATGTCATCCTCCGCCTGCTCCGCCGTTGAGGTCTTTGGATTGTGCTTGGTCTGGAACCTCCCCTGCGGCCCCTCCTCAGAGTACACGATCCCGGTGGTTATGCCTGCAGGTTGATTGGAGCACACAAGCCCCTCACCAACACAAGGTGACAATCCATTGAGGGGCTGTATTACCCCAATATATTTATATATTATTATTAAGGACTAGCTATCCCCTGCCACGCGTTGCTGTGGCCCAGTCTCGTGAGCTGGAAAATAAAGTAATGAGAAAGTGTTGGTTTCTAATATATGTAATGCTTGTGGGTTAAAAGTATTTCTTGTTGTTTCTTTGTCAGTGTTGCTGTAGAGATTGTCTAGTTTGCCTACTCTGGAACATAACAACATATATTGTCCTTTAGGGGTCCCTTTCAAATCTATGATATTATATCTGTGTCTGTGTGAATCATATATATATCTATATCTATGACTGGATGGCTCTTTGTCAGGAGGGCTTTGATTACGTTTTCTTGTCCTGGTGAAGTGAGTTGGACTCGATAGCCTTAAGTATTTTATTTATTTATTTATTTATTTATTTACAGCTTTTATATTTTGCCCTTCTCGCCCTGCAGGGGACTCAGGGCCGATTACAGTTGTACACATATATGGCAAACATTCAATGCCAATTTTGACATACAAACATATACAGACATACACAGATGCTATTTAACTTTTTCTGGCCGCCAGGGGAGCTGTCGCTTTCATCGTCCATCTGCGACGCTGATGAAGCACTTCCGCATTCCCCGCATGCTCCCCGCTGGAATGCTTTGCTGGAGTCTTCTTTATGGCCTCATAAATCAGTTAATTTAGCCTCCCCACACTTTAAGGTGGTACCTTATTTTCCTACTTGACAGATGCAACTGTCTTTCGGGTTGCAAAGGTTGGTTGGAAACCCACTCCAACCCGGGCTGGCTTCGAACAAATGACCATTTTGGTCAGAGTGATCTTAATGCAGCTGACAGCCAGCCAGCTGCGCTACAATCCCGGTGCAGCTGGGTCACAGGGGTCTGTGTGGGAAGTTTGCTCCAATTCTGTCATTCGTGGGGTTCAGAATGCTCTGTGATTACAGGTGAACTATAAATCCCAGCAACTACAACTCCCAAATGTCAAGGTCTATTTTCCCCAAACTCCATAGTGTTCACATTTGGGCATATTGCGTATTTGTGCTAAGTTTGATCCAGAACCATCATTGTTTGAGTCCATAGTGCTCTCTGGGTGTCGATGAACTACAACTCCCAAACTCAAGGTGAATGCCCACCAAATCCTTCTAGTGTTTTTTGTTGGTATTGGGAGTCCTGTATTCCACATTTGGTTCAATTCCACCATTGGATGGCCCAGGAGGATGGCCCAGGAGGTCTCTTCCAACTCTTTGATTCTAGGATTCTATGACCTGGCCAGGCAGCCCGGAAAACAACTCACAGCAACGCAAGGATGCCTTTGGTGTCTATGAGAGGTTCTTTCAGATAGCCATGTATAAAAATGTGAGAGGAAGCCACAGGGAGGAGGGAGCAAGCTTGTTTTCTGCTTCCTTGGAGACTAGGACGCAGGAACAATGGCTTCAAACTACAAGAGAGGAGATTCATCTGAACATGAGGAAGAACTTCCTGACTGTGAGAGCTGTTCAGCAGTGGAACTCTCTGCCCCGGAGTGTGGTGGAGGCTCCTTCTTTGGAAGCTTTTAAACAGAGGCTGGATGGCCATCTGTCAGGTGTTCTTTGAATGCAATATTCCTGCTTCTTGGCAGAATGGGGTTGGACTGGATGATGGCCCAGGAGGTCTCTTCCAACTCTAGGACTCTAGGATTCTCTGACCCCCTAGAGATGGAGAGAGAGAGAGGAGCCTCCCTCCTTGAAGTCCCCCCACAGCCTGGCCGGGCCCTGTCCCTCCCCTTGGGCCTCCCCCCCTGGTGTTCCAGGAAGGAGGGGCCAGGCCTCTTCGGGAGGAACAGCAGCCTGTGTCTCTCTCCCTCCCTCCTTCCTGCAGTCCGGCTCCTTTAAGGCGAAGCCCCGCCCCTCTTTGGGCGGACGCCTCCTCCTCCCGCCATGACAGCGCCGGGCGGAAGTAGGCCTCCGGGGTGACGTCACGGCCAGGCAGTTGGAGACGGGGAAGGAGGGCGGAAGTGAGAGCGGCGCTGCTTCCGGTTGGGCCTAGCTGAGGGAGAGGCAGCAACAGTTCCAAGGTGGAGTGGAATCCTCCCGCGTGGGAGTGGAAAGTGAGGGAAGGCCTACTCGGGATGTGGGAGGGAGGGGAGGGGGCAGGAGACTCCTCGGCGGCCTGCTTCCGGGCGGCCTGGCCTCCTCCTGGGATTCCACACACTGTTTTGAAAGGGCTTCTTTCCTTCCAGAGTGTGCTTTCGGGAAGCCAGGGGCCCTGGGAGGGAGGGAGGCTGGCGCTGCTTGTCTCCCTCTCTTCCTTCTCTCACTCCTTCCTTACTTCATTCCTCTCTTCCTTCCTTGCTGCCTTCCTTCACCCCTTTCTTCCTTCTCTTCCACCTTCCTTACTGCATTCCTCTCTTCATCCCTTCCTTCTACTCTTCCTTCCCTGCTGTTCCTTCATCCCTTTCTCTTCCTCCCTTTCTTCCTTCTCTCCCTCCTTCTTTACTTCATTCTTCCCTTCATTCCTCTCTTCCTTTTTGCTCCCTTCTTTCATCCCTTCTTTCCCCCCTTTCTTACTTCTCTCCTTACTTTATTCCTCCCTTCATGTCTTCCTTCCTCTCTTCCTTCTGCTCTTCCTTCCTCCTTCCCTCCCTCCCCTTCCTTCTCTCCCTCCTTCCTTACTTCATTCCATCTTTCACCCCTTCCTTTCTTCCTTCCGCTCTTCCTTCTTTGCTCCCTTTTTTCATCCCTTTCTTCCCTTCTTTCCCTCCCTTTCTTACTTCTCTCCCTCCTTACTTCATTCCTCCCTTCATGTCTTCCTTCCTCTCTTCCTTCTGCTCTCCTCCCTCCCTCCCCTTCTTCCTTCTCTCCCTCCTTCCTTACTTCATTCCACCTTTCACCCCTTCCTTCCTTCCTTCCTTCCTTCCTTTCATCCCTTCTTTCCCTCCCTTTCTTCCTTCTCTCCCTCCTTACTTCATTCCTCCCTTCATGTCTTCCTTCCTCTCTTCCTTCTGCTCTTCCTCCCTCCCCTTCTTCCTTCTCTCCCTCCTTCCTTACTTCATTCCACCTTTCACCCCTTCCTTTCTTTCTTCCTTCCACTCTTCCTTCTTTGCTCCCTTCTTTCATCCCTTTCTTTCATCTTCAAATTATAATAATATACATTCTTTCATTCACATCATTAATTCAATGAAATTCACATCAAAAAACAAATAATAGCGATGAACAATAAAATCATAATCTTTCATATAGTCAATGATGAATATCAACATTGTTCATCAAACTAACATTTCATTTCACCATAAAAATCTTTCAAATTCAATAACAACATGACTTGAATTCTTTCAATTTAATCATTCCAATTCATTATTAATATTGCATTTCATATCTATCAAAAAACAATTCAATTCTTTCAAAATAAATAACAATAAGTGATCAAAATAAAAATCCGTACAACATTCAAACATCTTTTCAAATCATGATCAAAAAATATCTTTCAAAAAAATAAAACAAAACAGTGGAACAAATTAGTATTTTGCACGTGAACCTCTTCTTGTTCACTACTTTCAATAGGAAAAAAAATTCATCATGGATTTGCATTCAAATGCATAACATAATAGTCACAACATTAAATAGTTCAATAATTAATCAAAATTTTCTTTAATCCATACATGTGGGTAAGCCACTGCACCTGTTATTTCTTACCATCACATATTCAAATAAAAATTCAACAAAATAAAAAATTTCTAACACAGTTAACTTATATTTTTCATAAAAATAAAATTCAATCACTATTGAAGACCACCTAATGAAAATGAATTGAAAAATTCAAACAAAATTGGCAATTCATAAATCATCAAATACCTGACATGTAAATAACATTTAAACAAACATCATAAAACAAACGCTCATATCAATAAATAATACTTCATCAATTTTCCAAACCTGCCTAAGATTGCATTCATTCGTGATTCAATATTTCATATGATACAAATCGAACGAAATAAACAATTGAGACTATCATTTCAATGAGGACAATCTCATCATCCCTAAACATATACTGCAATCAATTATAATGGAATTCATTCAATCAATAAAAACTCAATTCATAGCAAAATCAAACAAAATTCAATAGTGACTAACATTCATCATCTTTCATATAAATCACACAACTCATTTCAATCAAAACAATCAAAACAAAATCATATTCTACATTCAAAATCTTTCAATAATAATCAAAAAATCATTCAATGAATAAACATCCACAAATTCCAAATCATCAAAAAAAATCATTTTCAAATAAATCCATAAATAAATAATTAATAAATCATATTGAATAGATCCATTCTTCCTCTCTTCCTTCTTTCTCTCCTCCTTCTTCTTCCTCCCTTCCTTCTTCCTTCCTCTCTTCCTTCCTCCCTCCTCCCTCCTCCTTCTTCCTTCTCTCCTCCCTTCCTTACTTCATTCCACCTTTCACCCCTTCCTTCCTTCCTCTTCCTTCTTGCTCCCTTTTTTCTCCCTTTCTTTCTTCTTTCCTCCCTCCCTCCCTTTCTTACTTATCTCCCTCCTTACTTCATTCCTCTCTTCATTTCTTCCTTCCGCCCTTCCTTCCTTGCTCCCTTTCTTCCCTTCTCTCCCTCCCTCCCTTCCTTCATACAATCATATAGATTGATGGATATGTGTGTGTCAAGGAAAATCAGGTCACGTGCTATGTTTTGAAATGTGCTTTTTGCAAAAGCGTGCTTTAGGGATGCCAGCTTCTCTGGGAGTGAGGCTTGCGCTATTTGTGTCATTGGCACCTCCTTTCCTCCCTCCCTTTCTTCCGTCTCTCCCTCCTTCCTTACTTCATTCCTCCCTTCTTCCTTCCTTCCTCTCTTCCTTGCTCCCTTCCCTCCTCCCTTCTCTCCCTTTCTTCCTTCTCTCCCTCCTTCCTTACTTCATTCCTCCCTTCTCCTCCTCCTTCCTCCCTTCCTTCATCCTTGCCTGCCTTCCACACTTCTGCTCCTCCTCCCTCCCTTCCACTCTTCCTTCTGCCCTTCATCCCTTTCTTCCCTTCTCTCTCCCCTCCCTCCCAAGATAATTACAAACAATAAGGTTTTTCTTCACACACATACTGTGTCCTGCAAGGACTTACCGTAACAACTTATTCATAGATAGATAGATGTGTGTGTGTCAAGGAAAATCTGGGCACTTGCATGGTGCTGGTCACATGTTTTCATATGTTTTGAAGTGTGCTCCTTTCCATCAGATGGGTGCTTTAGGGATGCCAGGTGCCCTGGGAGTGAGGCTGGCAGAGTTTGGAGGAGGTTTGCGCTACCAAATGGCATGAACGACATGCAGAATAATTTTTCGGATGCTTTGACATCCAAAGGCAGTCAGCCTTGTTTGCGCTTCGCTCTGGGAACGATCCCTTTCCTTGAGTTCCTGAAATTTGTCCCCCATTTTGAGCCCCTTGAAGAGGGAAGAGAAGAGAGATCCAGGTTCAACCGATTCGTTTTTCAGAATTCTGTATTTGATTCAGTTTAGTATTTATATCTTGTGGATTTGACTCACTAGGCTCTGAACGCCACACGCACTCGAGTCTCCTCTTCATTCGCTTCATCGCTGCCAGATCCTCGTTGAACCAAGGAGCAGGTTTAGCTCAGCTTCTTGAGAGGAGACGTTCCAGAGCCATCGTGCCTATTGCCCTAGGTAGTTAATGATTTAGTCATTGTGGGCCTTAATCTTTTTGAATGGTGTCTTCAAAGTTATTAACTCACTCATTCATTCTTTCATTCAATTCCATTCAAACAATATATCATATCAAATCTACATATTATAATTCTTGTGACTAGCAGATGGTGAATACTGGATGGCATATGTTCTGTATCAGAAAGTAGAGCTGATGTGTTCTCTACAGTGTAATTCTCTGAATCAGCAACCCAAATAACCAAACTGAATCTAATATTGACCAAAAACCTATCTCTCCCCCCCCCCAATTCCAAACTGAATCTAATATTGACCAAAAACCTATCTCTCCCCCCCCAATTTTTCTTTTCCCCTCCCCCCTTTTAAGTAAAGAATGTATAAAAAATGAGGGTGCAGATAAAAGCAATGTTACATAAATATATAAATATAAATATAATCACCAATGGAAACTAAGAGGGCCTTCTCTTCTGCCGTCTCCCAAGGATGTGCTGCCCTCCTCTTCAAAGCCCACCTGGTGCAGAGGTTGATGCAATTCCAGTCTCCAGGTCTGCATTCCCATGCCTTCCTTTTAAAATGAATTACAACTCATAAACCATTAATAAGAAAACTTTAAAATAGTGAAACCTAAACAGTTGTGTTTTGGGAACACAAGCTCATGTTTTTAAGAAACACATTTTTCAAAACAGACACACCACATTGCGGAGCTGAAGGTAATCCGTGAAGCCTGCAACACATCCACCGCTCCCCATTCATGAGCAAAGGAAGGGCGGGAAGGATGTCAATGCCTTCAGGAGGCAGGAAGAGGAGGGCAGGGGGGCCTGCAAAGACAGGAGGGGAGGGTGGACTCAAAAGGAGAAGGCACAAAAAGAATCCCTGCAGCCTCCGAAAAGTTATGAGTCTGGCCTTCTAAGTAGGAGAAGAGTGTGCTTCCCCTTTAAAATCCTGTGTCTGTTCCCTGCAGGATTCTAGAGTTTGTAGTTGAGAGAGGCCCAGGACCGCTCTGGCTGAGAATTATAATGGCCCCTCCCTGAACACCTTGCAGTGTAAGAAACCACACACAGAGAACATTAGGGCCCCGTCCCCTTTGTACCTCAGAAGGGATTGTTCGTTGCTGGGCAAGTTCCAAAGTATTTGTTACCTGGCAGTGGGCACCTCCCCTCTTCCCCTGGGTTTGCTAAAGCACTAGACTTCCTCTTCATGTTCCATGAGATCTTTCCCTGTTCAACTCCTGAAGAGATTTTCCTCTCATTTGTCTGGCAGGTAATTACTGAACAAGTTCTGCGAAGAACACCTTGCGAGAGCTTTGCCCGAGGAGTGCTGCAAGTCTAAAGTGACTTCAAGATACACAGCAATGACAACAAGAAAAAAGGAGTAGAAAAATATATTTCAAGCTACACACCTGTGCTATTAAGGGTGGTGGTGGTAATATTGTTCTGAAAAAAGGGAGGCTTGGGAAAGCCAGAAGAAGGCTACAGCAATACAGAAACAGTGCGGTGCAGGAGTTATATATGTGAACATCTGGCATAATATTTGAAATATAAAAGAATGGCAAGCTCTCTACCTCCCTATCCTAGATCAGACACAGGGGAGAAGTTGCATCAGTGTATGGAATGTGAAAAACAATTTGATAGGAAAACATCTCTTACTGTACATGTACGGACCCACACAGGGGAGAAGCCATATAAATGCATGGAATGTGGAGATAGCTTCAGTCGCAGTCACAGTCTACGTTCCCATCAAAGGACACACACAGGGGAGAAGCCATATAAATGCATGGAATGTGGAAAGAGCTTCAGTCACAGTTCAAGTCTGCGTATCCATCAAAGGGCCCACACGGGGGAGAGGCCACATACATGCATGGAATGTGGAGAAAGCTTCAGCGTGAGTGGCTCTCTACGTTCCCATCTAAGGACCCACACTGGGGAGAAGCCATATACATGCATGGAATGTGGAAAGAACTTCAGTGAGCATAATAATCTGCGTACCCATCAAAGGACCCACACAGGGGAGAAGCCTTATAAATGCTTGGAATGTGGAGAAAGCTTCAGTCGCAGTGACAGTCTACGTTCCCATCAAAGGATCCACACAGGGGAAAAGCCACATAACTGCATGGAATGTGGAAAGAGCTTCAGTCACAGTTCAAGTCTGCGTATCCATCAAAGGGCCCACACAGGGGAGAAGCCATATAAATGCATGGAATGTGGAGAAAGCTTCAGTGACAGTGGCACTCTACGTTCCCATCAAAGGATCCACACAGGGGAGAAGCCATATAAATGCATGGAATGTGGAGAAACCTTCAGTCGCGGTGACCATCTACGTTACCATCAAAGGACCCATACTGGGGAAAAGCCACATAACTGCATGGAATGTGGAAAGAGCTTCAGTCGTAGTGACAATCTACGTTCCCATCAAAGGATCCACACAGGGGAGAAGCCACATAAATGCATGGAATGTGGAGAAAGCTTCAGTCAGAGTGGACATTTGCGTTCCCATCAAAGGACCCACACTGGGGAGAAGCCACATAAATGTATGGAATGTGGAGAAAGCTTCAGTCAGAGTGGATATTTACGTTCCCATCAAAGGACCCACACGGGGGAGAAGCCACATAAATGCATGGAATGTGGAAAGAGCTTCAGTCACAGTTCAAGTCTGCGTATCCATCAAAGGGCCCACACAGGGGAGAAGCCATATAAATGCATGGAATGTGGAGAAAGCTTCAGTCGCGGTGACCATCTACGTTACCATCAAAGGACCCATACAGGGGAAAAGCCACATAACTGCATGGAATGTGGAAAGAGCTTCAGTCGTAGTGACAATCTACGTTCCCATCAAAGGATCCACACAGGGGAGAAGCCACATAAATGCATGGAATGTGGAGAAAGCTTCAGTCAGAGTGGACATTTGCGTTCCCATCAAAGGACCCACACTGGGGAGAAGCCACATAAATGTATGGAATGTGGAGAAAGCTTCAGTCAGAGTGGACATTTACGTTCCCATCAAAGGACCCACACGGGGGAGAAGCCACATAAATGCAGAGAATGCGGAGAAAGTTTCAGTCGCAGTGACCATCTACGTTCCCACCAAATAACTCACACAGTACAGAAGCCTTAAAAATGCATAGAATGTTGAGAAAGTTTCAGTCAGAGTAACTATCTACATTGCTTTCAAAGGAGCCACATAGTAGAGAAGCCATATAAAAGCACAGAATGTGGAAAGAGCTGTAGCGAATGTTCAGCATACATTAAACATCACGGAACTCATGCGCCGCTTGAGGAGACCTGCCTTTCAGTTTCTGAGCTCTCTTCAAAAAAAATGTTGGAAGGAAAGAGGAAGGCTGGCACCTGTCTCTCTCTACCACGAACTACAGTTTGTGTGGCCTTGGTCGGTGGCTACTGGGAACATGTCTCACTCAGAAGGGAATTTTTCTCAGTATTGCAGCAAGCTCCGAAGGGGTTCACCTAGCATCCACCATAAGAATCCCTTCACAGGCATCTTGATGATCTGTGAAGGTTTGCTGAAAGGAGCAGCAGCTAAGATCTTTAGATAAAAGGGTTCTGAAAAAGAATAGTCCTTTGGTAGCAGATAATGTCATATCTTCATACCCTTGTCTCATGTCTTGGCTCTGTTGCCCCTCAGTTAGAATTTTGGGCTTTAGCCATATACCTGTAACCCTTTTCTGGACTTTGTTGTATTCTTAATAGTTGATTATAAATTCTGGATCGAAATCCAGCAGGATGGTAACACATTTGGGCATTCCCTGGGCAATGACTTTGTAGACGTCCAATTCTCTCACACCAGAAGCGACTTGCAGTATGTTCTCTATTCGTTTCTGACACTGTAAAAAAGCCGGACCGAAGTCTTGTAAGTAAATATGGTCTTGGCTTATCTTGTGTTTGTTTAATAAATCTCAGGCTTTATACCGGGAGAGCTCGGGAGCACGAGACCATGACTCTTGCTTTGGACACAGATACTAAAAGACAAGGGAGTTACGGATGGATGGGAATTTCTAAAGAGTGAAATACTCAAGGCGCAATTGCAAACTGTGCCAACAAAGAGAAAAAATAGGACAAGTGCAAAGAAGCCAGAATGGATGTCCAAAGAACTTCTAACTGTGCTAAGACACAAAAGAGACATGCACAAGAAGTGGAAAAAGGGAGAAATCACCAAAGAAGAATTCAAACAAATAACCAACACCTGTAGGGAAAAGGTCCGCAAGGCTAAAGCACAAAACGAGCTCAGGCTTGCCAGGGACATTAAAAACAATAAAAAGGGCTTCTTTTCTTATGTCAGTAGAAAAAGGAAAAACAAGGAGGCGATAGGGCCTCTTCGAGGAGAAGACGGGGCAATGCTGACAGGGGATAGGGAAAAGGCAGAACTACTTAATGCCTTCTTTGCCTCGGTCTTCTCACAAAAAGAAAGTCATCTTCAACCTCAGCAAGATGGAGTGGATGAGGAATTAGAGGACATCCAACCCCAAATTGGGAAACAAGTCGTCCAGGAATACCTGGCCGCTCTAAATGAGTTCAAGTCCCCAGGGCCAGATCAACTACACCCAAGAGTATTGAAGGAACTAGCGGAAGTCATTTCGGAACCATTGGCAACCATCTTTGAGAGTTCTTGGAGAACGGGAGAAGTTCCAGCAGATCGGAGGAGGGCCAATGTGGTCCCAATCTTCAAGAAGGGAAAAAAAGGATGACCCAAACAACTACCGTCCGGTCAGCCTCACGTCGATACCGGGCAAGATTCTGGAAAAGATTGTTAAGGAAGCGGTCTGCAAACACTTAGAAACAAATGTGGTCATCGCTAATAGTCAACATGGATTTATCAAAAACAAGTCATGCCAGACTAATCTGATATCTTTTTTCGATAGAGTTACAAGCTGGGTAGATGCGGGGAATGCCGTGGATGTAGCGTACCTGGATTTCAGTAAGGCCTTCGACAAGGTCCCCCATGACCTTCTGGCAAGGAAACTAGTCCAATGTGAGCTAGGCAAAACTACGGTGAGGTGGATCTGTAATTGGTTAAGTGGACGAACACAGAGAGTGCTAATAAATTTCTTTTCTCTGGAAAGAAGTGACAAGTGGAGTGCCGCAGGGTTCCGTCCTGGGCCCGGTCCTGTTCAACATCTTTATTAATGACTTAGATGAAGGGCTAGAAGGCAGGATCATCAAGTTTGCAGACGACACCAAATTGGGAGGGAGAGCCAACACTCCAGAGGACAGGAGCAGGATTCAAAACGATCTTGACAGATTAGAGAGGATGGCCAAAACTAACAAAATGAAGTTCAACAGGGACAAATGCAAGATACTCCACTTAGGCAGAAAAAAGGAAAGGCAAGGATACAGAATGGTGGACAATGCCTGGCTTGAGAGCAGTATGTGTGAAAAAGATCTTGGAATCCTCGTGGACAACAAGTTAAACATGAGCCAACAATGTGATGTGGCGGCAAAAAAAGCCAATGGGATTTTGGCCTGCATCAATAGGAGCATAGTGTCTAGATCTAGGGAAGTCATGCTCCCCATGCTCTATTCTGCTTTGGTTAGACCACACCTGGAATATTGTGTCCAATTCTGGGCACCACAATTCAAGAGAGATATTGACAAGCTGGAATGTGTCCAGAGGACTAAAATGATCAAGGGTCTGTAGAACAAGCCCTATGAGGAGCGGCTTAAGGAGCTGGGCATGTTTAGCCTGAAGAAGAGAAGGCTGAGAGGAGATATGATAGCCATGTATAAATATGTGAGAGGAAGCCACAGGGAGGAGGGAGCAAGCTTGTTTTCTGCTTCCTTGGAGACTAGGACGCAATGGAACAATGGCTTCAAACTACAAGAGAGGAGATTCCATCAGAACATGAGGAAGAACTTCCTGACTGTGAGAGCCGTTCAGCAGTGGAACTCTCTGCCCCGGAGTGTGGTGGAGGCTCCTTCTTTGGAAGCTTTTAAACAGAGGCTGGATGGCCATCTGTCAGGGGTGATTTAAATGCAATATTCCTGCTTCTTGGCAGGAGGTTGGACTGGATGGCCCATGAGGTCTCTTCCAACTCTTTGATTCTATGATTCTATGTGTGTACTTATCGCTGCTTAGAGTGAACGCCTTTTCTGTATTTGAGACTGTTTAATAATTTTAAACTCAAAAGTAATTTTTTCCACACACGGATAATATAACCATCAGGGCATTTGAAAAGGTGGTTGAAAGAGACATAGACAGATTGTCCCGGACCAAAATTTACACCCATTCCAACATGACATCCATAGAAATGAATACCATAAAAAGATTGGCCAACATGAAAGGATACATCTGGAAGAAGGCAGATAAAGGAGGAGCAATAGTTCCATTAAACGAAACGGATTACGTAAAAGAGGTAGAGAGACACCCAGGAGACACTTCTTTCTATAAACCTATCCCTAAGGATCCTGCAGACAAAATACGTTTTTTAATCTGAACAGTATGTACAGAAGGACTCACTTTAGGATGCATCTCAGATCAGCAATTTGCATTTCTGCCAAACAAGAATCCCAGAATTGCAGTATTCTATGTGCTACCTAAAATACACCAAGGAAACATGTCTCCCCCCAGGGAGACCAATTGTATCAGATTTCATAAAGATCATAGAGGACCTTACCATACCACCACAATTCATCTTAATGACTCTGGATATAACATCATTATATACCAACATACCATTAGATCGAACAAGAATTTTGGAATTACAAAACACACGTGAGTCCCAAACACCAGCTTCTCATTTTTTAATAGATCTGTTAAACATGTCCTAGCATATAATTTTTTCAGATTTTAAACCCAATACTATCTACAGATTCTTGGTGTTGCGATGGGAAGTCCTTTGGCTGCTCCAGTGGCAAATCTTTTTATTTCAAATTTGGAAGAAACCCACACCCTAAATGACACAAAAATCAAATTTTTAGCAGATATTCTGTACAATGGCAGGTTTATTAATGATATTTTTTTTATTTTGCAAATCAGAAGAAACTGCAATCATCTTTAGTACTTGGCTTAACACAATCCAAGTGCTGGTCTTGGCCTATAAAGCCCTATATGACTCTAGCCAGCTTACTTGTCTGAACGTATCTCCCTCTACATTCCACCTCGTAGTTTTAAGATCTGCCGGGGAGGTCCTGCTCTCGGTCCCACAAACTTCGCAAACATGGCTGGTGGGGACGAGGGACAGGGCCTTCTCGGTGGTGACCCTCCACCTGTGGAATTCGCTCCCCAGCGAAATTAGATCAGTGACCTCCCTTTCTTTCAGAAGAAAACTGAAGGCGTGATTGTGGAACCAGGCTTTTGGCTAGTGGATATAACGGCAGCTGAACAGTGAATTGGACCACACGACGATTGTTATAATGGAAATGTTTTTATGATTGATAATTGTTGTTTTAATGTCTTTTATTGTATGATTTTATTCTGCTTTTATAATTGTAAGTATTGCGGCATTTAATCGTTGCCATTGTGAGCCGCTCTGAGTCTGCCTGCAAAGGGGGGGGGGGGGTAAATAATGATGTAAATAAATAAATACATGATAACATGAAATTCACTGGTAACCATAGCCATAGAAATATAAACTTTCTAGATGTCATGGTATATAAGAAAGGCAATAAGAAAACCCACGGATAAAAATTCCATCATGCATTACAACAGCTACCACCATTATGGTGCAAAAGTTGCTTCTAGTCGCTTCTGGAGTGAGAGAATTAGCTGTCTACAAAGATGTTGCCCACGGGACGCCCAGATGTCTTGCAATCCTGTGGGGAGGCTTCTCTCATGTCCCCCCAAGTGGCCAGCTACTGATCAAAGGACATTTAATAGAATGCCAAGTTTGTAAACTTTGTGCTTTGTTTTTTCTTTGCTTGCTTGTTTTTTTTAATGCAATACAACTGTCTGGTTCGCTCCTGCACGATAAATAAATACCACCATCATAGTTTAAAAACCAACTTACCCTATGTCACACTTACGAGATTAAACTGAAACACCATTGCCCCCGAGGACGTCACACTGGGGGTCATTACTTTTGAGAAATAATTCAGAGAAAAAGGGCACCCCACAAGTATCATCAATACTACTATTAGAAAAGTCCACAGATAGCAATGATTTACTAAGCAATGTGGTGAGGAAACCTAATGACCGTATTATATGGCCACTTAGGTTAACCACATATTTTCCACACATCAGGAAAATAATTAGAAAGCACTGGCACTTGGTCAGTGACACTCCAGGATGCAAGAAAGTATCAATGATAGCCAACAAACAAACCCAAAATCTTAGGGATATGATTATCAGATCTGACTTCAGAACCCCCTATACTATCAGCAAATCTAATC